GGTGAAGCTAGGTACGGTGACGCTGGGTACAGTGGCGCTGGGTGCGGTGGTGTTGGGTACCACTGTTGCCATGGCAGCACCTGCATCTGTGGCCCGAGTTGCATCACTGGGGTGTTCCAGTGCCCAGGGGTCGGAGGCCACCAAGTGGACGGCGGTCGTTGTAGTGTCGTAGCATGCAATCCGTACATCGGTAAGCTGTTTGTTTGCACGGCCCTCACTGAACCTTGATCCTGGCAAGGCTCACCAAGCTGCTGAAAAGCAAGTCGCTGTGGTGGGTGGCGCTGTCGCATGGGGTAGCGTCTTTCGTCCCTGGCGAGGCATGGATCATCTCCAGGTGCGTCGCTGGAAGGTCGATCAGTCTCCTCTTGGAAATCTTGTCGGGCAGGTTCAGCCGTCATAGGTGACCGGTCATGTACTCCTGGTTCGTGGGTAGTGACTGGTGCAGAAATGGTATCTGGTTCGGCAGCAGTTACATGCTCCGGAACGGTAGCTGGCGGTGACATTGCGGACGATGTTTCAACTGGTCCAGTCACCATCAGTCGAGGGGCAGATGTAGCAGTTCCCTCCGTCTGTTGCTCGCTGGCTGGGATGAACTCCTGTGCATCCTGGTTCAACCCTGAGGGAGTTCCGCGGACAAGCTCTGGTTTTGCGACATGCCATCCAATGTGACTTGTTTGTTTTGTGCGCCTCGGAGCTGGGACTGGGGGTTTGGGGACTTCTCGGGGGGTGGTGTTCTGAATGGATACTATGGTATCATCTTCAGAACTGTCGGAGTCACTCGCATCCTCCCTCACACTCGGTGCTGGCTGGCGTCGGTTGGTAGAGCCTGGTGTGGTGGCACTGGACACTGTCCTTTCCACACTTGGCTTTTCGCTGGTCAAGAAGTCACAGGGCAGCAACAAGTTCCTGTGAAGAGTTCGTTTTCGTCCCTCGCCGCTCTCTGGGCGGAGTTCATAGACAGGGGAGTCCTCAGCTACTCGCTTCACAACAGTGTGAACTTCACGTTCCCAGTATGCGCGTAGTTTTCCAGGCCCACCATTTTCATTCAAGTTCCGCACCAGAACTCTGTCGCCAGGTTGGAGCACGGAACTGCATACCTTCTTGTCATAATAGTGCTTGCCTCGGCTGGAGGACCTCTCCGCATTTCTCCTTGCAGTCTCATAGGCATCTTCCATTTGTCTCCTCCACTGCCGACTGTAGTCGTGGGGGTCCTTTGCAGCCGTGCCTGTCCTTGGTAACCCAAAGGCTAGATCAATTGGGAGACGAGGGGGGCGTCCATACAGGAGGTAGAATGGCGAGAATCCTGTGCTCTCTGAACGTGTACAGTTGTAGGCGTGTACCACTTTGTTCACTGCATCTTTCCAGCGGCTCTTCTCCTTCTCAGGCAGAGTCCGAAGCATCCCCAAGAGCGTGCGGTTGAATCGCTCCACCTGGCCGTTCCCTTGGGGGTGGTATGGGGTGGTTCTCGACGGAGTGACACCGGACAGTTGCTGGAGCCGCTTGAACAGTTGATTCTCGAACTCCCTGCCTTGGTCATGATGCAGTCTGCTTGGGAACCCGAATCTGAGAACAAAGTCATTGAAAATCTTATCTGCCACCGTCTTGCCTGACTTGTTTGTTGTAGGGTACGCCTGGGCAAATCTGGTGAAATGGTCCATTACTACTAAAATGTACTCATATCCCCCAACACTTCGTTCCAGATGAAGGAAGTCAATAGACACCAGTTCGAATGGAGTGGTAGTGGCTATTGGCTGAAGAGGCTCTCGGGTTTGACGGCTCGGTTTCTTCTGTTGCAAACACCGACAAACACTGGTCACAAAGTGCTCAATGTCCCTTTGCATGCGAGGCCAATAGAATCGGTCGCGAGCGAGGTGAACCACACGTTCAGCGCCAAGATGACCCATTTCCTTGTGTAATTCTTTGTAGACCACTGGGTGATATTTCTTTGGAAGGACCAATTGCAGCTTACCACCTGCCCTTCGATGGAGAATTCCGTCAGCATCCAGCTCGAGTTTGTCCCATTCTCGAAGAAGAGCACTAATGTTTCTGGGATTTGCACTCTTGGCTCTGCTTATCCGGCCGACGGCCATTTTCCAGGGACTGTATGAGTTGTCTCATATCCTCCTCTTCTCTTTGCGCTACCTTGATTTCTGCTCTTGGAATCTCATTAAGGTTCGCCACATTATCATCGGGGCTTGAAGTAGACATGGTCAGTGCACCGACCCATGGGAAGCATCCAGAACTTTCTGCTCGAACGGCGTCAACAGTAGCACCGAGATGACGTGGGCTTATTTCACTGGTACACTGGGCTGTGTAGTCTTCGATATTGAGTGGCATACGGGAAAGAACATCGGCATCTGCATTGGACTTCCCTGGGCGGTACTTGATTGAAAAATTGAAGTCGGCCAATTCTGCTACCCAACGATGTCCAGTTGCATTAAGCTTGGCGGAAGTCAGAATGTAAGTCAGGGGATTATTGTCAGTGTACACTGTGAAGGAGGGAGCATAGTACAGATAGTCCCTGAACTTTTCAGTGATCGCCCACTTTAGGGCAAGAAACTCAAGTTTTCCAGAGTGCAGATTGTAATTCTTTTCTGCTGGTGTAAGCGTCCGCGACCCATAACCAATCACTCTCATCTTTCCATCTTGCCGCTGGTACAAGACTGCTCCTAATCCCTCGTTTGAAGCATCCGTGTGCAAAATGAAAGGTTGCTGATGGTCTGGGAAACCCATCACAGGGGGGCTGGTGAGAAAGCTAAGCAACTGTTCCAACACTTTCTGGTGTGCTGCTTCCCATTCAATGGGTTGCCGTGACGACACCTGTACACTCTTTCTTGTCACAGGCTTCCTTCCTGACTTAGATGTTAGCTGTGTTGTACCATGGCTTGTTGGGCCATTGACTTCTGGGCTTGGCTTCTTCAGCAGGTCATAGAGGGGCTTAGCGATCGTGGAAAAATTCTGAATATACTGTCGGTAATAGCCAAGAAGACCCAGAAGTTTTCTTAGCTCACCAACAGTGCTAGGTTTCTTTCCTCGTAGCGCCTCAACTGCCTCGACATCCGCAGGGTCCATCTTGTAGCCATCACTTCCGATGATCCTCCCCAAATACCTCACTTCCTTCTGGAACAATGAACATTTGCTTGGTTTCAATTTGACACCCTTCACCTGGAGCCGTCTGAGGACTTTGCGCACATTCTCAAGGTGTTCTTCAAAGGTTTTCCCATACACCAAGATGTCATCAAGGTACACCACCGCAACTTCGCCAACCAGTCCTTCAAGGCAGTTCTCCATACAGCGTTGAAAAACGGCGGGAGCATTGGTGAGACCGAAGGGGATCCTATTCCATTCATACAAACCCCACGGGGTGATGAAGGCTGTTTTTGGTTTGCTCTCTGTTGCCATGAAGCCCTGGTGGTATGCTTTACCCTGATCAAGTGTGGAAAACCATTGGTTTCCACCGAGACCGTCCAGGACATCTTGTATTCGTGGAATTGGTTGTCTATCAGGTATCGTCTTCTGGTTCAACTCCCTGTAATCGATGCAGAGGCGTAATGAGCCATCCTTCTTTCGCACGCATACTACAGGTGAAGAGTATGGGGATTCTGATTTCTCTATCCACCCACGGCTCAGCAGATCCCTTAAATACATCTTGACTTCACTGTAGAGTGGAGGGGGTACAGATGTATACGATTTCTGCACTGGCTCATCGTCTTTGAGGCGGATGTGCATGTTCAAATCTGTGATACATCCCATATCGCTGTCATCTTTAGAGAAAACACTGGCTTCTTCTCTCAACATCTGGGTGACTAGTTGTTGTTGGTGTGCTGTCAAATGGCTGATATCGACCGGAGGAACCCATGTGTCGCGGTTGTCTTGCGCTGTTACTGAGTTGACCTTTGGGGCAGGGCAGCTTGTTCGGACTGTTGTGGCTGACTCTATCAACTCTATAGTGCCCAGACTGGTTCGTCTCTTCAAAACGATATCAGTGTT